GCCACTGGTAGGTCCGACTTCTTTGCTTTCCCTCTGTTGTTTCTGTCTGTCTGTCTTACTTTGTCCTAGCACCAAAAGTAACCATTATTGCGCTTCTCTTTAAACAAACAAAACAAATTATGAGTACCTTAGTTTATGCATTTCAGATACATTACCAATTGATTACAAAAAAGTACTGGGGTGCCATGGTTGAAAATGTCTTTGCCAGATCTGACATTTGAAAAAGAATATGTACATATAAAATACTCATATAGTTGTATTCTGAATATTCATGAATCAAAATCCATAACGAAACTCTCTGAACTTTTTATTAGTTGGTTTGCCTCAAAAGTTAATCCGATTAATCAGGAACTGGGTGCGTGCCCAGCACATGTCTACGTACCCATGAGACCGGCGTTTAGGCAGGCGCTCGTCTGTTGTCGGCCGTTATGACGGAGTTAGCGTTGTTTGTTTTCACAGCTTGTTTGTTCCTTACATCTTTGTTTCCCCATTGTCTTAGCGCCACATGCCGACTGCCGGCACAACAACGGCCGCCATCGGTGCTGCACGGCGTCAGGGGAGCCCATGTTTCCTTTCCCTGCTCTGTTGTTTCTGACGATCTGACTTGTTTTTTCCCCCAGCACTAAAGATCCTGTAATTGCGTTAGTGTGTTTCTGTTTACCGAAGAAACGAATATATGAGTTGTTGTAAGGATAAGGTACATCGCTTTCGTTCAGAGGTAGAAGTGTGGGTGGTTAGCGGGTGCTCTTTTATTGGTGTGGCTTGCTCCTTTCTTATCACGCGCCTGTAGTCCTTATCTCTCCTCCTCTTCTGTGTTTGTTACTGTCTTATAACACTTTCAAGTGCCGTAAAACTCGTACTACAACTAGAGGGTGGGCGTGGGTGGTGGTGGGAGCTCTGGTATGGCTTGCTCCTTTATTCCTACCAAACATCTATCGTCTTGATCTCTCCTCCTTTTTTGTTTTTGTTACTCGTTTGTTTGTAACACCTAATCTTCGGCATACATGACCTTATTGTGTTGCAAGTGCCGTAAAACTCTTACTGAAACATAACTAAAGGGTGGGCGCCTGCTGTTAGATCCTACGTGTTTTCTTTCCTTTTGTTGACTCTGTCAATCTTGCTTACTTT